AAAATGTAAAGTGAAATTTAATAAACGATTTTTAATATAACTTTATTGTGTTAAAATAAAATTTTCGAGATAAAATTTCTGGTAAATTGTTATTCAATTACATAAAAGAAGTGCAGCAGCCTTCTTATTCAGAGCTCCTGTGCGTTCCGGCTAGAATTATGATTTATTACAAAAACTAAGCAGCACCGGGACCGAGATCGGGTGGGCTCCGGCCCAATTTAAGCTCTGATCGTAGAGGGGGGGAGTTCTTTTATCATCACAAAAATTAAATACACTTAAAGAATAGCTGATAAAAATTCCAGGCCGAAACAGAATGAGCGTATGAGGGGAATTTTGGTCAGACAGAACGTTCTCTTTGACCGCGGCTCTCTGCAGATATAATTACAGTCATCAAGCAGATGTGTGTCAGGTGTAAAATGAGTCCTGAATCTGTGTGTAACGTGTATACGAGTCAGATTGATTCCCTTAGAAAATCCTCCACGATGGCATCCCTCCCCTTAGGCAAATAGCCCTAGTGTGCTTTGCCATAATTACACTCATGTCCATAAATTAAGGATAACTCGGAGTCACGCGGAAATCGAACTCTAAAATAAATATATCACCTGTAAAATCACTACACACATCTTCAAGAAATCATATGCAAATTTCAGGAAGTAACCAGATGACACCGATGGTACGTCACAATGACGAAAGGTAGAGTATATTAAGGATACAGGCAAAGAAGTAAAAATGTTCGCAGGCGCTTCATAAGAATTTCAATGCAATAACCGAATAGTTATAACACGAAGGACGCATTTCGATGATTTTTTACGTGGTAGAATTATCGGCCGTCTGGAATGTGGGCGTACCCAACTGGACGTATCAGATGAACTTGGAATTGCCCAGAGTGTCATTTCCAGGCTTTGGCAACGATTCCAAGATGATGGTAATGTGAGTAGACGTTACAGCACAGGTCTTCCCAGAGTTACAACGCCGAATGAGGACCGGTATTTGGTAGTTACTGCCAAAGAAACAGGCGGAGCACAGCCTCAGACCTGTCTCGTCAGCTCTCTTCAGCCACTGGTACGACAATTTCAAGGCAGACCGTGTACAGACGCTTAGGACAGATTGGTCTATATGCTCGTAGACCTGTCAGATGCGTTCTACTTACTGCAACTCACTATCGCCTGAGGTTAGCCTGGAATAGAGAGCATACATTGTGGACACCGCAACAGTGGGCTGGTGTGATGTTTTCCGGCGAGTCCAGGTTTAGCTTGCAGTCTGATTCTCGCCGGACTTTCATATGGAGACCTCCAGGTACCCGTCACCACCAAGAAAACATCATTGAACGACACCGTTTACGGTGGTGCAGGAGTGCTCGTTTGGGGTGGAATTATTCTGGGTTCCAGAACTGACCTGCATGTTCAAATTGGAACCATGACAAGCAAATCTATCGGGACGTCATTGTGGAACAACATGTACGTTTGTTCGGGGCGCTATGGGCGCACAATTTGTGTTATGGATGACAACGCCGTCCTCACCGTGCAAATATCGTAAGCGAATGCCTTCAATCGGAGGATATCACCCGTACAGACTGACCAGCATTCTCACCGGACTTGAATCCAGTAGAGCACGTGTGGACATGCTTGGCCGACGAGTTGCAGCCCGTCAACCTCCTCTACATGTCTACCGGAATTTCGTAGAGCATTGCTGTTTGAGTGGTGTAATATCCCCCAAGATCAGATCGATAATTTGATACTCAGCATGCCTAGGCGTTGTACGGACTGTATTGCATCGTCTGGGAGACATAGAATGTATTAACAGTCATACCAACCATGTAATATTGGTTTTCTGTAAATAGGTTTTTTTTTTTTTTTGTAATTTGCTCCAGGGAGAAAAAATCGCTAATTTTTTTAATAATATCAAACATATAGCATCTTTTTTTGCTCTTTACCTTTTGTTTAATAAATAAGCTTTACAAATAAGTCAAATTTATTTTGCTTCTAACTCTTCCTTTGCCTGACTTTGCATTATCCTTAATTTATGGACATGAGGGTAAATAAACCAAACCAAACCGAGTTCTGAATCTGACTCCTAAGGATGAATGTAATCTGACTCCTAAGGATACTGGTTACGCTTCCGCCCATTAGTGGATACTGTGGGAAGACGATAGGACGTGCTTGAGCAGTTTATCTCAGTATTCAGTTTATTGTCCTCAACGCACATTTAAAAACCCAAATTTTCCTTCCTGAGAGGATAACTAACTGTAAGCATCGATAACAATACACTAGATACGATGGCATGGCGAGAAATTTACTCGTTGCTAAACAAACTCGCCCAAATTTATTGCCCTTCTTTTCGTCAGTTTATTTGTTTCTTCATTTGCTTTTAATGCTGCTATTTTTAAGGATTTTAACACGAAATTCGAATTTATTTCTAAGTCCTTCATATGAAGTAAATTAATTCTTTATCTTTTATTTAATTCTTTATTTCATTTTATTTCTCAAAATTACAGCTCTATTCATCCATACGTTCATCTTCAACTGAGCTAATTCTATTTTATATTTGATTTGAATAGCTTCTGTTTTTACCGCAATTTCATTTTTAATTTCCTTCCATAGCTTCTTTGCATTTTCTTACTTGCGATTCGATTCGCCATACAAGGTAATTATCATCAGTTAATTTTTTATGCGAGTTAGATTTATCGTATTATATGCCATATAAATCAAATCTACCTCTCAAAGAAATCAGCAAGGTTATCAAGTTTAAATGACATTAATGTTTTCTACTAATGCCAGATGTATTAAAGAACCTTCACCAGATACATTAACTCATTCTTTCACCATCAAAGAAAAATATTAACGTTGCCAAATATTAATGTTTTAAATTATACTTTTATAAACAAATACCATCAGAACCCAAACTATCCCTGTGAAATTTCTGACAGGCAGTTTTTGAGAAATATGCAATTTCAGAATGCCAAGCTCTGCACACAATATGAGTAATCATTACTTTATATTTTTTAGGCTACAATTCTTTTTAACACTCTTACTTCCTTTCCTGATAACTCTCACTCATCAATTACTTTAATTAAACGAATTTTTTTTGCTTCTCTACATAGGCAGACATAAGCGTAGATACTGTAGTCCTTGATACATTAAAGAGACGTATTGTCTTAAGGAAATACACCAGCCAGAAAAACAACAAACAATTTATACTCTCTTAAACTCTGATACATTAATTTTTCAATCCCCTGTACTAAATCTCATTGTTTGAAATAAGTAACAGTAAAGCGCTAAAAATTCAAATTTCATACATAAATTGTTTCAGTTAGAAATCTTTCACGGTTTTTATCAAGAAGTTCATATATTAGCTTGAAATTTGGAGTGCTATAGGAGTTTACAAAATTTTAGAAAGATTTCAGGACCGTTTAATTAATGTTTAAAATGTAAAAAGTATTTTTTAAAATGTTCTATCTGATAGCCTTGTTCCCGGTCAATAAGCCTTCATCATGATTTCCACGATAGAAGGACTTTTCATAAAAATTACTAATTCAAGATAAAATATAATGGTTGCGATGAGATATGCAGTAACATATTAAGTTTTATCTTTCTCTGTATTCTTTTTACTTCCTTGTACGAAGTAAAAAGGAAGTATTATAATCGCGAAAAGTTTCAGGCAGCATATTTCAACGAAAATATCCATTTTGACCGCTATCGAATGCAATTTAACGATGTTTTTGCATGATATCTGTACGGTAGGACAGAATAAAATACTCTTTTATATATCCACTTTGTTACCCGGCTCAGTGATCTCAGTTTCTTTACTCTTACTATACTATTGCTTTAAAAATTATTGTATTATGTTGTTTTTATCTTCCGGTTAAGGTTTTTATGCCTTTAGTAAATCTGTATGCAATATTTTTAGACTTATCAACAATTTTAAAGTTGTCTAAGTGCCGCTAAGCCTTTTTTTTTTTTTTTTTTTTTTATGGCGGCCATTGATGTTTACATTTGAAACAGGAGACTAGTAGATTTGTTGCCAATCTAGAGAAACTTAGCTTCGCAACAACAAAGATAACGCATTCATTTATTATTGCCAATTAAATCATGCTTAATTCTTTCTGGAATTTTTTCGAGGAAATAAGTGTTTTAGTTCGTAATTTTTAATATAGATATTTTGAGTTTTTATCTATTTTTGCCTTCTCGCGAAGTGAGAACTGAATTAATTAAATGAGAAATACTCAATCGTCTGTAAAAAACTGTTTCTTTTTTTGTTTTGTTTGCTTAATTTCTTTTATACATCATTCTAGCTTTATTAAATATTTGAATAGAACATGTGGCAACGATTAGATAATTCTATTCTTTAAATGATATAAATTTTGTGCATTATCAGTTATAATATGAACGAAATATATAAGTTAACTGTTATATAATTATTGGATTATATAACAGTTAACTTAGTTTCCGTTATATAATTATTATATAGTTAACTGTTATTAATTATTAATACTGTTAAGTGAATCTAGCGCCAGAGTGTCGCTATGGTAAACAAATACTAGAGTGAATTTTAAAGAATGCATTTATTCTATTGTGGTTTATGCGCAGTCGGCGAAGTAGATTTAATTCAATCCAATAAGTTTAAATGAAATGCAAGAAAAATGCGTATAATTTAATATTCCGTACAAGGAAGTCATGTGGTGTACACATCAGATTTTTTAATTTTATTTTCTTAACAAAACTACTAGGAAAAATTAAATGTTCTATGCAAATAAGTAATCAACATAGGATTGAAAATTCATTTTTTTCCCCAGCTAACTGTTGTTAATGCCATAGAAATCTAGTCAAAAGAATGCACGGAATCATAGGTAAAAAATTAGGAAAATGTTGGATTCAGTTCAACTGAAATCATCAAATAAAAATGGTCTCTTATTTATGTTGATTAAAACGGAAATCGTCTGCTTTGATCTTTAATGCTTTTGAACGGAGAATATTGGCACCAGGTATTGAAAGAGCGTAAGTAATCTATCAGCTTTCAGTTTTTAACACTATATATATCTTGCATTTGAAATATTAGCTCCAACAATAAAAAATATGTCTTGGATAACCGAAAATTATGGGTTCGATTTTGAATCTGAGTATACATATCAAAAAGTATCTATAAATCAGCTCTCATCACATATTTCTCAAGTCGTACTATATGGAATAGTTATCGGAAAACAAGACATTCGTCGCATTATTAGCAAAAAACGTAAGTATTTTTTAAATTTTTAAGTTCAGAATCTAAAATTTATGTTCAATTAAATAAAAAACTTGATTTGCGCAGAGATGAATATATTCTACACGAGATGTGCATTACTTGTGAATTACCTTTTTGTTTTCAAGTTTTTAGTTGTAAAACTTTCATGCTAAATAAGTAACCTAAATTATTTGCAATACACAAGAAATTAAAAAAGGGGGGATAAGATGCAGTAATTTTCGATACATTTTGCAGTTTATTTTTAAGTTATTATTTTTTGCTCTTTGAAGAAAAAGCCTGTCTTTTTTGAAATGCTCAGAACGTTTTTTTTTAAAACGAACATAAATCTAAAGTTGAATTTTTCTTTAATTTAAATTTCAAGTTTCCGTGCTCTATTTTTAGCACTTCCCTCCTCTAATAAAGTGTGAAGTAGTGTTGTGAAATGAATTCTATGTGAATTTTTCTTTCTTTATAAGTCAATAAAATATTAAGCAAGATATTTTTTCAGTAAAATTTATTATTTCAAATGCATATTGGTATAAAAAATTATATGTCTGTATCGATACAATTTCCCTGATTAAATTTTTTAACTTTATACACATATTACGAGGATTATTTGAATATGGTAAAACGCAGGAGACCAATTATGCAGACAACCCTTATGCCTGAGTTCAAGCTGAGATCGAGCTAATATTAATCAGTTATCTTAAGATCTTAAGACCCGTCGCAGAGGGACATTACCCAGCAAACCCTGGGCTACTAGAGCCCTCTGCTCCAGGAAAGTACAACGCACTAAACCAAATTTAAACAAAACTAGAAGAAACCCTAATTTTCAGGAATAGAAACACTATTACATGTAAAAATATTAAATAAACAACCAAGCAAAATGAATTAGAGACTTGCAAATTTGAGATTTAACAAAGAGTTCAAATTTATCATACTTGATATCTCCTTAAAGCTCGCTTACCACTGATAGCAACACCCTGAAGCTTATTACGACATGTATACACATAGATGTTTTGCATGGAAGAAAGTATGAATCCAAAAATATAATGCAGTGAAGAAATAATATACGAATACTGTGTCAACTACCTCTTTAGAATACTTTGAATGTTACCTGTATTTCTCAGAATCTAAACGAAACATCAATATAAAAATATAATAAACTTAATAATACTCAAAAATACAATAAATTATATTGTAACAAAACAAACTTTCAAAAATTTATTAGACTCAACAAATACCGATTCTCCATTCATAGTTCGGGAATTAAGGAAATATCTCATAGCATGTAATATATTATCATATTCTGTATCTCACTTTTAGTGCTATATAATCTTCCACAAATTTTATATAAATATAATATATTACATAATAGGTATTTATACAATATGTTGTTCTCGATGTTTAAAAAAAAAAAAAAAAAAAAAAAAAAAAAAAAACTTAATTATTAATTTTTGTACTATAAAAATTCCATCTCTGTGAATAAGTATGAATATAGTCATAGTCATGTAAACGTAATTATAAGTATCTACTTATTAAATAACTAATTTAATAAAAACTAAATCCCTATAAATATATATATATATATATATATAAATACTATTTACCTATATATATATTAATAATTTATTGCTACAAAAAGTTTTTCATATATCATCTCCAAGGAACATAAATTTAATTAAAGCGATGAATTATTGGAATAAATTCGAGTCAGGGTTTTAGGCAAAAGTTATTTAGATTTCTGTTGTAAAAAAAATATTATTTTGAACAGTAGAAATTCTAAATAGTAAAATTAAAAGTACTGAAAATGTAGCTATTGTTATTGACCGTAGATTATAAAATATAAAAATACCATTTCGTGCTGTGCATTTCCTGTATTTACACTGTCAAATGAAATTTATATAGTGCAGTATAAATAAATCTTCGACACAGCCTTATACTACACAAAGTTAACATTATTGTCATTGCAATTAAACACATATAACACATATAATTACATTTGTTTACAAAAAGTTTTATCTTCGTTAATAATATCTATACAAACAAATCAGTTTAGTGCAAAAAACTGTAACTACCATTTCCGCAGTATAATTAATGAAACTGAGGAAATAACTAATGAAACTAATGAACTAATGAAAATAATGATAACTAAAAGAAAATAATGCTTAAATATTACTCTAACTATATTTGAAAATAATGCTCTTACAAGACTCATGATTTGAAAAGCTTTGGTTTTTGGTACGCGTTAGTCAAAGAGTTGAGAACCACTAGTATAAATTACTATTTTTCCTACACTAAATTTGGGATATGAATCCTATCGGTTTCCAAAATTATTAGCAATGGTGAAAGAAGATAAACAGCTGATGATACTATAAAATATTTTTGTGATCTTTTACACATACTGAATTAATTATTCAAGACATTATTCAAGCCGATGATGCCGACTGAATTAATTATTCAAGCCGATATACTTAAATTCAAAGCTATGGGTAAGAAATTTATTTTTGATCAAGAATGATATCTAGGAATATTTTCCAAAAGACAGTGAGAATGATATGTATAACTCATTGATTTGAATGGAAGCCTAAATATAGAAATTCTTATTTACTCGGCTTTTTCCATTAATTTAACAATTTTACCATTTTGAAAATCGAGAGGACGCGGTGTATGCCAATTCCGAGGAAAACAATTAAAGGAAATAGAGAATCTTCAAAGAAGTCAGTTACAGTTACTGCTTTCAGAATTATTCTTTTTGATTCTAGATTATATTTTGGAAGCTATCCATATTTGCATTTAGCACCCATTGAATCAGAAGTTTTTAATCACGTGCTGAAAAAAAGTACGGGAAAAAATACGAGAGGAGTATGCGAGTATATACGTCTATTTTTTTAAACAAAACATGTGAAATCTGGAAATATCAGACTACAGTCTAGCATTTCATAACTAGGAGAGAAAAACACTAATGCAAAATTAAAAGTTTATCAAAAAACAGCCTTAGGGCTGGCACAGATTTTGAACAAAATTCTATCGATTTCGAAGGCGATCAGATATCATTTCAAAGACGATCCTTTACTTCAGGAGTAAAAAAAATTTCTCGAAATCGTTAGAAACTTATTCAGAATCTTAACCAGTCTATGAATTCCTTATTTATTTAATTTAAAACTCTAAAGATGAGTTTTTTCAATAAAAACTTTAAAATATTAAAACAAAATGTTAAAAAATTAAAATATGTAAAGCATCACAAGAAAAAACAAATAAGGACTTTCTTTAATACTTAGCAACATATGACGTTGGAAACATCTTTTATTAAATTTAGCAAAGCTGCAAATGCTGGTAAAAATTATCAGTGGATTATGTAATAAATTAAATGTACTTGAATCTGTATGATTGAAGCAACACTTGATTTTCTTACGCGATACCACGAAAACCATGACGAATTTTTAAACTACTTTGTAAAGGGAGATGAGATCGTTTCATACAAAACATCTGAAACCAAGTGCCATTCAATGGAACGGCATCACATGGAATAGATGTCAACTATCTTTTGGGACTACATAACCCTACTACTCTTTTCATTCCTGCCAAGAGCGGAACCAGAAATTTCAGCAGTCTATTGTGACTCTTCAATGATTTCACTGCACCGTTCCTAGAGAGACCTTGGATCATGTTGTTTCACGGGGTATCCGCCGATAACATCGCGGACGAAAACGTCGCGGAGAAAACAACGCAAGGCAAAAATGTGCTACAAAACATCGTGGGAGAAAACATCGCAGTTCTAAAACATCGTGGTACACAACATCGATGTTGAAAATAAAGCGGTTCAAAAACTTCGCAGTTTAAAAACATCGTCGTCTAAAATATCGTGGTAAAAAATAAAGTATCTACAAATCATCGCATGACGATACCATTGCAGACATGCTTTTTTTCAGTGTTTAATAATTGTAATTGGATATTCCCATAATGATTTGTGAGCACAAGATGGAAAAGAAGGATAATTTTTACTTTCACATTTTTTTATTAACTAATAAATTTTTTCTGAAAAGTAAGAACTAAACTTAAGCACAGAAAATTAAATGCAACTTATAGATTATACTTTGCGTGAAAAATTACCAGTAAAAACTTTATAAAAAAGGATTTATTAAGGGCCTTTGTTAGTTAACTATGCCGGTTTAAAATTCTATTAAGTGCTATAAATTGTATTAATTTTCTATGCTTAAGTTTTGTTCTTATTTTCTCCGCAAAAATTTATTAGTTAATAAAAAAATATGAAAGTTAACCTTTTTTCCATCTTGCGCTCACAAATCATTATGGGAATATCCATTTACAGTTATTAAAGCCTGAAAAAAGCATGTCTGCGATGTTATCGTCATGCGATGATTTGTAGATACTTTATTTTTTACCACGATATTTTTAAACTGCGAAGTTTTTGAACCGCTTTATTTTCGACGACGATATTTTGTACCACGATGTTTTAGAACTGCGATGTTTTCTCCCACGATGTTTAGTAGTACGACGTTTTCGCCTTGCGTTGTTTTCTCCGCGACGTTTTCGGCTGTAACGGTGTATTTAATTATGGCAAAGCACACTAGGGCTATCTGCCTAAGGGGAGGGATGCCTTTCGTGGAGGACTTTCTAAGGGAAACTGGCTCGTATACACGTTACACATGGGGAAAACCACGAAAACGCCCATGCAGCCAGCCCGTTCGCGGGATTCGAACCTCGAACCGAACTACCAGTGTTCAGCGACTTTACCGCTCGGCCGCTGGTGGGCCGTTTTCGCCTGTAACCGTTTCACGGCAACGTTCGACCTCATAAAACTGTAGCAACCAAACAAAAACTGTAAGAATGCAATTTAGTAGTTATTTTTAAACATTTTGAAAAACAGAATAAGATCATGTGCTAATACGCACAATTTTTGCCTTTGGTAGTTTGTGTAACACCTAAATGTTCTTTACTTTCTGGGTAACCTAAATAACATTTATTAAAGGGCAACAAGCTAATTAACAGTTGCAATAATTTGCTTTAAATCGGAATAAAGCCTTTGTAAAAAAAAAAAAAAAATTGTTAAGATGCTGATTGGTCAATTTCCCTATTGTTAAGATGTTGATTGGTCCACCTTCCGGCCCCGATATCGGCATAGAGTAATTCAAGATTATTTCGAAAAGAAAAGAATAGCGATAGTGTTAACACAGGGGATAAAATATTCTTACCAGCATTCGTGCGATTCGGGAAAGTGAATATTTATTATATTTAATCCAAAGAAAAACAATTTTTTTACAGCAAAAGGAATTCCAATATTTAAATTTAACAATATAAAACAAAAAATTAAAGTTACACACGTTATTACTCACAAACTCAGTAAAAAACCGCTAGGAGAAGAAAAATCTTTAAAACATAGAGTTAGTTAAAACTTTAGATGTGACATCTTTCTACCTTCAGCTGTCGGGAGTCAACTTCACCCAAATGGAATATATTATTTTTTATTGATCTCTGGGGAAGCCTTTATTGTTCTACCACTTCTAGTTGTAAGCTTTTCATATTGGGTAGGTAAGTCTTTAGTCCTCCAGGTTTTTCTTCATTCACGTCTTCAGTTTCTCCATTTCTCACAGGATTTTCAGAGGCTGCTGAAATTTTGTCCTCTGATGTAACATAAAACAACAGAACATGAACCAGAAAAAGAAACAGTTCCTCCTAGAACCCAGAGCATAGAATTTCAGAGACTACAGCATAGAAATTCGGGGAATGGAACATAGTTCTTCATAGAACTCCAAGGTATAGAACCTAGTTCTTCATAACCACATAATGCATAGTGTAGCTAAACCAAGAGAAAACCAGAGAGAGTAGGTACGAAGAAAAAACTGGCGAAATATATGTGGGGGCACCAAAATCTTTTAAGTGTAGGGCCTCTAAAGGTACAGTGGTAGTAGGTAGGGTATACCTGTGAGTACTTACCTATGTGCAGATCCAGCCCTGCGTCTACCCATAGGTTACCAGTTGAGGCAGTGGCGTAAATTTAAACAGATTTCAAAATTAAAATTAACTAGAAAGACAAAAGATGAGCCCTTCAAAGATGTTATTAAAAGTAAGCTACAGGCTGATGACATTAATCTGGGACAATGAAATGAATTTAGACAGGTTATTTAATTAAAATTAAATATCGAAGCACATCGATTTGTTTCAAAGATGTTAATTTATCAGTAAAGGTTCACCACCAAGGATAATTTAGGAGTCAACCCATAGGTTACCCCTGAGGGATAGTGCAGTAAATTAATATAAAAATTTTAATTACTATTAAATCGAAGTACACTGATGCCTGTCAACGCTATTGGTCACCAGCGCCCATTAAGGTCACAGGTGAACCACAATTTGAGGTCACTTAGAATTAACCCGTAGGTCACGAATGCGAGACGGTGCAGTAAGTTCATATCTAGTAGTACTTAAATTAAAATTAAATCCAAGCACATGGAAGGGTTTCAACGACTTTGTTATTGGTGACATTTAGGTTAAAGGTTACGTGGGGTCGATCTGTATATTATCACTGTGAGATAGTACAGTGGTACCGTATATTTCAATTAAGATTAAATTTGAACTCATCAGTGCGTTCTTAGGGTGTAGCCCATTAGTGCCCATAGATAACTAGTGTTGTGTAATGAAGTAAATTTCAATACATATTTAAATTAATATTAAATTATACCACACCAATGCTTATGGTTATCGAAGCCCATCGAAATCGCCAGTGATATGAAAGGTTGAAGATCACTTGAGGTTAATCCATAGGCCACCAAATATGAGGTGATACAGTAAATTCAGGCCGGCAATTAAATTAGAACACATCAGTTCATTTCAACGATTTTGACAATGGTGACTTACAGGTTTAGGGTAACTTAGGGTCAGCCCACAAGACACCACTGTGGGACAGTAAAGAAAATTAAATAGATAGTTAAATTAAAATTAAATTGAAGTATAACGTTATCACTCAAGGAATGGAATTATTTATGGAAACATAGCGATTTCCAAGCAGTTGTTTGTTGTCAGTGACTTAACTGATTAACGATCATTGCCCAGTGACCTACAGATAGAAATTCACCGTCCTACATGATTACTGAGTGTACATTACACAGTCACCAATACAAGATGATGTAGCAAATTTAGATAAATTTTAAAATTAAAATTAAACATACCAGTGCCTGTCACGGCTGTTGATCACCAGTAATCTATGGGTTGATGTTTACTGCACCCTATTATCACCAGAATCGGCTAATGAAATAAATTTGAAGAAGTTAAAAAAAATTAAACAGAAGGACTCTAATTCTCATCAAAGCTGTCAATCACTGGTGATCTAAGCACTGATCATCAGTGACTTATAGTTACTGGCACCATCCCATAAATCTATTGATTTAAAGCACACTAGCAAATTTAGATTAATTAATTGACAATTGATTGAATAATTGATTGAAAATTAAATTAAATGAAAACTAAGGATATTTATGATCATGAATTTCATCATGTATTTATTAAGTAACTTCCAAGAATTAAGTATTAGGCACTGCATTAATCTGTTGACAATAGTGTTCCATTATTCCTAACATGGTTAAGCTATCTTTAACTATTAAGTATTTTGTCAACCATAAAAGCATAAAACTCTTACCATTCAAAATTAATGTACAATTATGTATTACTTATGTAATGAAGAGAATATGATTTGAAAGTTTCTTAAGGACTGAAGAGCAACACAAATACCATGAAACAAAAAAGTGATGAATAAATAAAAAATAAATAGTTTTAAAGCTTTTTTTTTTTTTTTTTTTTTGGCTGTGTATTTGAAAGATAACATCAAATGAAATTACTGCAAATATATATATATATATAATTCATAATTAGTCGAAAAATTAACTAAATTTATATAAACATATATCTATTCATGATTTTTCTTTGAACAGAAGCTGCTTCTGAACGTTTTGTGCTCAATTTCAGCATTAGAGACTCACCTAATGATACCATAAATGCAGCATGCTGGGGAGATGAAAGCTCAATTTCTACACTTGGCTCTTGTTTCACACTTGGTGACGTTGGTAAATTTATTTTATTGTGTGAGTTAAACTATCCTTAACTATCACTACTTAAGTAACATATAATTTATTACGTATATTTTGCAGTGAAAATAAAAAATCCTCAAATTATTGAAAGACAAGCAGAAGCAGCTGATGAGAAGTTCAGGCCTCAAGTGAACAGGTGAAGTTTCCACTATCAAATACACATTTTGTTTTAAATGTTAATTTAAGCCGTATTTACTCGAGTATTCTGCTCCCCCCCTTTTTTTTTGCTAGTTTTATCGTACGAAAATCGACAGGGTAAAATTATGGGAATACTTTTAATTTCCGAAGGTCACAGTTACAATAAAGCATAATAAATGAAAAGTATTTATGGGTAAACTATGGTAACTGTATAAGGTATTTCTCCCGCCTTCTTAGCATGCCTTCGTGGTGTAGAAGTCAACACGCTCGAAGCGTATTCGAGAGGTCCGTGGTTGGAGTTCCGACGAGGGCACTGCTCATTTTTCATCTCCCCTGCTTCGAAATAACCTAATGTCTCTACAGTGGCGCCCGAACTAAAAAAGGTGGTGGATGATGATTTTTAACCCACCAGGATTTGGCGATTAGCTCTCCTAACCTCACATCAAAATATATTACATGCAAGACACAAAACATCTAAAACAATTATCACCTAATTTTATTTTTAGCAACATTTGATAAACTTTAAAGAACTTTCAAACTAAAAGAATTCATTGAATTTCACCACACAGAAAACAGAAAGGAATTTACAGATTTCATAGATGTCCTGTAAGCAGTAATAGCTTTAAGTTAGCATTAAAATTATCATTAGAGTAATAGTCTTTCCGATGGTAATAGTATTGGAAAAATAAGCGGCAAATATTTTCTAATTCATAGACTGAAAAAAACACATTCTGTTTATTGAACCATGGTTACCATATAACGTACATTAAATTTCACTTCTTGGTATTCCCTCTGTAAATTGGTCATTTTCACAATTAATAAATATTTAATTAATTCCTTATTCAGTTTTAAAACACATTTATTTAACATTTATATGGTTAGTTTGGTTTATTAGATTATGGCAAAGCCCATGTAGTTGCTTGCTAAGTTCTTTTTATAATAATTTAAATAACAAAAATCAAAAGCAAGAATCAATTTTTTTCCATATATAACATCTTTATTATTCTTTTAGCCCTCACTAACTCCCTACTGATTTCAGGCATGACAACACTTAGAAACTAAACTGAAACTCTAGGTGAAGTGAAAGTAGTAGTTATTATCTAGTAGAAGTAGTTGTAGTTATTATGACCAATAATAATTGTTGCCTACATCACTTCCCTACCAGTAACAAAGTTACGTTACTCTGAAAACATGGTGGGAGAGAAGATACAAATATCTATACAAATAACACTGATACAAATATATATATTGAAATTATGTACACAAATTAAAACATAATTAAGTTTTAAATTAATATGAAAGAGTTATAAGTTCAAGAAGAGTCAATAACGTCATTGAAACGAACTGGAAGTTTTACTTGTCTTCCACATCGTGTAAATTTTTTAGGTTGTTCTAGTTGCTGACTTGGCACTGATGTTTGCTTACTTGGCACAGATGTATGATCACTTTTTGAAGTTGGAGACAAAAGTTCATTAGGTTGTAACACATAAGCTGGTTGTAACCTATCCACAGAGATACTAACTTGTTTATTTTTAATTGATAGAAGAAAATATTTCGGGGTTCTTTCCAGTACCAAAAAGGGTCCTTCATATGGGGGCTCCAAAGGTTTTTTCACTCTGTCAACCCGCAGAAACACATGCGAGCATGTGTACAAATCTTTTGGGATGAAAATCTTTTGTTTACATTTGGATTTGGATTGATAGGGCTTTAAGAGGGCCATCTGATTTCGAAGATTACTTACAAAATTATCATTTGATATTGGCATGTTTGATTCTTCAAAGAATTCGCCAAGTAATTTAATAGTTTTGCCATAAATCATTTCAGCTATTGTATACTTACAGTCCTCATGTAGAGCAGCTCGCAAACCCATAAGAACTGTTGGTAATGTTTCTGTCCAATGAAGAGAATTATGACATCTAATAGCTGTTTTTAAGGTACGGTGTAGACGCTCAATTTTCCCATTACTCTGAGGATGGTAAGAAGTTGCATGCTTTACTTTTATTCCACAAAGCGAAGCCAAATTTCGAAACAGTTCCGAAATGAATGGAGTTCTTCTATCAGTAATAACACAAGAAGGTACACCAAATCGTGTTATCCAATGTTCATAAAAGGCTCTTGCTATATTTTCTGCTGTGATATTTGATAACGGTACCACTTCTATCCAAGAGGTAAACCGATCAATACACGTCAAACAATAAGTGTAGCCATTAGAAGATGAATAAGGCCTAATTAAATCAATGTGTACGACATTAAATCTTTCGTCTGGTGCTTGATATTGAGAATATTCTGATTTTGTAAGCTTAGTTACTTTATTTTTCTGACAATCGATACAAGTTTGGGCCCACTGTTTAACATCTTTTTTATATCTGGCCAAATAAATCTTTTAGTAATCTCTTTTACAGTACTTCGGATTCCAGGGTGAGCTAAACCATGAATTGCATTAAATATTTTCATCCGAAAAGTTTTAGGTATGAATGGTCTGATATTAGAAGTAGAGGTATCGCAATATAAGAGTTTTTCCTGACGGTAATTGGTGCTGTTTAATATGCAATGATTTGGAATGTAATTTCAACTGTTTCAGTTCATCATCATTAATTTTTGCATCTGCTATCAGGTCAAAATCAACAACAGGTGAATCGATGTCATCAATTCTAGATAGGCTGTCTGCAACCACATTGTTTTGACCACTTATATGGCGTAGGTTAGTAGAGAATTGTGAGATATATTGTAGCTGTCTTAGTTGTCTGGGAGAGGCTTTGTTATTATTTTGCTTAAAAGCAAACGTTAAGGCTTATGATCCGTATAAATAGTAAAATCGCGGCCTTCAAGTAAATGTTTAACGGATAAATACTATATACCCAAGCTCGCGATCGTAAGCGCTATAATTTTTCTGGGCATCATTAAGCTTTTTTGAAAAAAATGCAATAGGCTTCCATCCATTTGGTTCTTTTTGTTGAATAACTGACCCAATAGCCAAATCGGATGCATCTGTGAGAAGTGCCAGAGGGTAATCCGAATTGGGGTATGCCATCAACGCTACTTGAGCAATATCTTGTTTACATTTTTCAAAACTTTTCCTGGTTTCATTGGTCCATAGTATTTTACGTCGATCTTTTTTTGTAGATCCTTTCAAAAGTTCATGAAGAGGAGCTTGAGTTTCTGCGGCATTTTTTATATAAGAAGGAACGAAGTTGGTGTATAGTTTCTGGCAACGAATATTCTATGATAGCTTTAATTTTTTGAGGTAGAGGTTTTGAACCTTCAGCAGATATTTGATAGCCCAAAAAGTCTATTACAGGTACTCCCAAAACTGATTTACTAATATTAATTCGGATACCATATTTATCTAAACGCTGGAAAACTGTTTTAAGATGTAAACGATGTTCTTCCTCGCAAGAAGAGGCAATCAACACATCATCCAAATATGAAAACACGAAGTCTAGGCCATAAAAAACTTCATTGATGAACCTCTGAAAGGTCGCGGGGTCATTTTTGAGAACAAAACTCATGACATTGAATTGGTAAAGACCAAAAGGTTTTTCTTTATCTTCATCTGCTACTGGAATGTGAAAATACGCTTTAAAGAGATCAATTTTAGAAAATATAGTTTTATGAGTTAAAATATGTTGAAAATCTTGAATTCGAGGAATGGGATAACGATCAGATACAGTTAAATCATTCAGTCTTCTATAATCCCCACATGGGCGGAAAGAACCGTCTTTCTTTGTCACTATGTGTAGGGGACTTGCCCATTCTGAACTGGACGGACTAATGATGTTATTGTCTAGCATATATTTGAATTCTCTTTTAGCTATTTCCAACCGTTTAGAGTCTAATGGTCTTGCTTTACAACTTACATGTTGTCCTTTAGTTATAATATGATGTTAATATTAGAATTACGAGGAATAAGGCTTACCTCTGCTCCACTGTCCGTATAATGTGATAAATAAGCGGAATTTACGGCAATTTTCTTTATTTACAGCAGCAGAGTCTGCCGCTAATTCTAGTGCTGATTTTCGTTTTCCGGGGAGTTGTTTTTCCATGCACAGGGGGCTTTGCATCTATCAGGAAAACACTTTTCTCGAAAACGAAACTGGAAATAACAGTACTTGCCATTAGGGTTATATTGGCTCCGAGACTTACTTCGATCATTAAATGATCGACTGCTATTTCTTGAGCGAGGACGAGAATTCCTTGTGACAGTTAGTTTTTCGAGTTTATTATCCAAAGCTGCAATTTGTTGTCGTAATTCAGCAATAGCATCTGCTCCTGGAGAAACAATACTGCTGGCACAGTATAGTTCTTGTTTCGGTTGCATTTCGATTATACGATCGGCCATTAGAGCCAGTTTTTCGATATCTTCATCACTAACGATTAAAATATTGCGCACAGAATCTGGCATTTTCTGCAGAAATAGTGTTTTAAGAACTTTATCCGAAATGCCATCGGTAGCAAGATTTCGCATTTTTTGTAAAAGTTGACTAGGTTTACTATCTCCCAAGTCTATGCCTGTTAGCAGTCTCTGTAAACGTTTATTTTCACTTTCTTTAAAAGTGTTCAAGAGACGTTCTTTAGCAGCAGTATATTTGGTTTTGCTATTGTCACTGATAATATCCCATAAACTTTCAACAAATTTTGCTTCCGATTGCGAAACTAAGTAGTTGAATTTAGTTTCCTCGGCAGTTATTCCACAAATAGAAAACTGTGCTTCTACTTGAGCTACTCCCCAAAAGGGAGGTATTTTAACACTTACCCGTGCTATTTCTTCTTTAATCGCCGATTCTTCACTTTCTGACATCTTTATCAATAATTCCGAGGTCACCAAGAATGTAGTTGCTTGCTAAGTTCTTTTTATAATAATTTAAATAGCAAAAATCAAAAGCAAGAATCAATTTTTTCCCATACATAACATCTTTATTATTCTTTTAGCCCTCACTAACTCCCACTGATTTCAGGCATGACAACACTTAGAAACTAAACTGAAACTCTAGGTGAAGTGAAAGTAGTAGTTATTATCTAGTAGAAGTAGTTGTAGTTATTATGACCAATAATAATTGTTGCCTACACCCACTAGGGGTATTTACCTAATGGCAGGGATACCTTTGTAGAGGACTTTTTAAGGGACACTGTGGCTCATATACATGTTACACATGGGGAAACCGTGAAAAGGCCCAAATAAGTAATAAATATTTTAGTAGTAGTTTAAGTAATAAAAATTTGTTCTATGATTCCATTTCATAGATCTGAAATCAGGCAAGTTTTGTAAACAACAGTGAAAAGTGGTTGAAATCAAGGTTTTCATACAGAGCATGTTGTATTTACAAAATACATGACTGTCTTCTACCAGTAACAGACTGTATCTGCACCTTTCTTATTGATGTTTGAAAGAGTAATTTTGGAGTAGGTTTTCTTCAATGCACCCTATATAGACATATATGTATTTATATGTTTCATTTCTGTAATAATTTCAAACTTGAAAATGATTGTGACAGAGATGAAAACATCATTAAACATTAATTATATTAAAGCAATTCAATGAAATTTTTAAATAAAAACTGTATTAGATAAGATATATTTCATTAACTATTATTTTAATTTTTTCCTTACAGCCAGTATACTTTAAATATCAGTCCTCAGCATAGTGAAATTACTACATGTTTAGGTGAAGAAAGAAGAGAATATGAAAAACTGTTGCACTGTACAATGCATCCAGCATCTGAAACATTAAATTTAGCTGATATTGTTTATAACAGTGAAAGTGTAGAAGGACTTACAGTGAACTTGCTTGTAGCTGTGAGAGATGTAAGATTTTTAAAATTTCTTTCTTTCATGAAAAATTCAATCAATGAAAAATACTGCTAGTAGAGCATATCAAATAATTTTTTTAGAAAAAACTTTGAACAACATGGAAAAAAATATTTTCAGTGATATAAAATACAAAAGCATTCTATAAAATCTCTTTTTTTGTTACCCAATAAAAATTTGCTAGGTTTTTTAAAAAAACAAAAACTTTTTGAAAACTAGTGTCGTTTTAAAATAAAAATGTTAAAACTTTGTTAAAGAATTTAAGAGGAATTAAAATTTTCAAAATCACATTAAGATTTAGCAATTAATATAATTTACTTCCATAACTTTTTGACAAATGACTTAACTTTTTTTTAACAATATGATAAAAATCCTGTTTCAATTATTCCATGTTTAAACAAAGATGGTAACATTTAAAGTTAAAATTTAAAGATTTTATTTTATTTTTTGTTAAAATATAATTAATATATTACTACATACGATTGTTTTCTTTTACCTAATTTATAGTTTATATTAGTATGTGCCTCTTCCATATAACTACTAATATTTCATATCTTATCTTTCTTTGCCTTATTACTCTTTTTTGATTATTAGTAACAATAAGATAAAAAGCCCATTCCTATCCTCATAACATTTCATATGTATTTTATTTCATAATCCATTTAATATATTATATTTCTTTAACTGGCTTTAAACTTCATTAAAAATGCAATGTGTAACAATGTAAAATTTCCCAAAGAATTATTTGGTTTCTTAATTTAAAATAATAAACACATAAGAACATATAGAATCTGAAACACATCAGAATTATCAATGAGAGCTGTTATACAGTGAAATCCAGGATTAAAGACTATCCACGATTTATATATTTCATAAAAAGGTCACACTCATGAAAGGTATGATGATGGTTATCTCACAGAAGATGATTCTCGGTGATAATTATTTACATTATTAATTATTATTATTATTACTGTTATTTAATTATTCTCTCAGAAATTCTGGTCTCTTTCAGAGGTGGCTACACAACAGATTCCTTTTTAAAAAGTACATTTTAATGAGTTTTACATATAGCATGCATAATATTTAATTCAATTATGTATCATTTACAAAAACAAATAGCATAAAAATTCGCACAAGAATGCTGGACTGGTTTTTTTTCAAATTAACATTTTTTTCCCCTTCCTAAATAGATTGGAACTTTACAGACTGTAAAAACAAGAGATGGTAGAGATCTTAAGAAGCTTCTTTTGACAGTCTTTGATCAATCACATGCAGTGTTTCATATCCTCATGTAAGAATATTAATTATTTAATTATAAATTTACATTTTTAATAAAAAAAAGCTCATGAACAAAAAAAAAAAATTCTCTCATTAGTTTGTGAAACGAAGATCACATGGATTTAAAACAGCATATTTATACTCCAAAATTTGTTTCATATCATAATTCATTTATTATAAAATAATTTTATTGAAAAATTTTGATCAATATAATATGTTATGAATTGCAGTGTAATGAATAACATAAGATTAAACATTTTCAATTTATACCCTCATATATAGTTTTTTAATCCTAAAAAAATTTATCTAAAATGAAACTATCAAGAGTATCATCTGTTACAGAAGTATAATTTATTATACATTAGAAAAAATGTATGGAAAATATTAAAAAAGATTGTAAAAAAAAAGCTTTCTACAGAAATTTAACTTTTTTATAGTCAGATACTGGTAAAATGTACATTTCGTTAGAAACATTAAAGCAAAAACATAATTTAAATTTTCCTAAGTTATGACCGATAATTAGAATTCATATTACTGACCTAGTGATTACTTTTCCAAGTACAGAGCATATGCAAAACACTATTTTAAGAAGTTTTTGACATTTTAATACATTATCTTCTGCTTAAGAACTTATTTACTAAGAGCTAAGATGTTTAGAAATCTAATCATTCAATTTAATGCCATTTTTGTATGATAATACTTTAATTATGATTTTTTTTTTTTTTTTTTGCATACAATTTCATCAGTTTATTACATTTACAACTGTATTCAGCTGCATCAATTTGCAAATGTACTCAATACAATAAATTTAGAACAATATTTAGCGATTCAACATAAAAGATCCAATATGTTTAATTTTACAATACTAAAGAAGTTTAGAAATGTTTAAAAATAAAATAAAGTTGATACGCAATGTACTGCAGAAGGTAGCAAAATACAGAATGTTTAAATGATTAAAATTTTACTCAGAATATAGAAGCATTATGCTTCATTTTCTTTAATACTGCAACATTGTAAACATTATTATATGAAAATTTTAATACTACAAACAAATTATCAGTGCATGAAGTTATACCTTTCTAAATTGACATCACAGGTTGTAATGTAAAAATGTTCTCAAATAAAATGTATTTTGTACTCTTAATTTTCATGAACTAAATACAGTTTTGCAATAGCTCATTCCACAGTTTTTCTTTCTCTTGATCTCCTTGATGTCTCTTGTAAGCTTTCTGAATTTGTAGTCACTTGAGCAGAACATCCTATATATACTATACATACATATTTATTACAAAGATATAAATACATGTTTATGTATGTATATATATATATGTAAAGAAATAAATTTAGAAACCAATTTTTCACAAGCACCAAAAATTATAATTCAAATAAATAAATTTCCAAAAAACCTATAAATGTAGATTTATAGGTTTATAGGTCCAACAGAATTCTGAAATTAGAATTACATTAATTAGAATTCTGAAAAAGCTAAAAGAAAAATTAAAATAAACCATTACAAGAAAAAAAAATAATTAAAAAAAGAATTAATAAAAGCAGAAAGAAAACTGAATTCATTAAAGGATTTAAAAAAATTAAAAACCGGAAAAGTTTACTTTTCCAATTTTTTACGCAATTAAAACAACAATTTACAATTACCAAAATTGATAAAGCTAGCAAAAAAGTAAGTTCTACAATGTAAACAAATTTCTGTGATCTGTGCCAAAAGTTCTACAATTTGCTAATTGAAAATGAGCTGAAAAATTCTGCTACCTATAGTATCTCTAAAAATAAAGAAAGAACTATTATTAAGAAAATTTCTGCCTTTTACAAAAAATGGAAAATTTCTTTTTTCACTGAAAACAATAGATTTGCCAATCTTTATGCTTCACCTAAATTTCTCAAAAATCCTGTCAAATTTTAATTTATAGCTAACAGTTCTAAAAATTTCAAGAAGAATTTTTATAATATTTTTACCAATCTACTTAAGTCTATATGTAATACTATAGTATTTGATAAAGATAAAACAGATAAAAACTACTGCTGGATTATATACGACAATTTGCAAATTATTCAGAAAGATCTTCAAATTTATAATATTAACTGCTATGACTTTGAAAACGTCTACACTTCTCTACCATGCAAAGAAATTTACAAGTCTTCTGGAGCTATCAATGCATTTCCTGAAATACCTAGCATTCTGGATTTGCAAAAATGGAAGGAATTTCTACATTTCTCGCTTGACAATAACTATATCAAACATTCAAAATTTCTTTTCCTGGAAACACATGGTATTCTAATGGGAAGTTTCTTTCAATTCACCTTTGTAACTTATTATTGTTTCCTAAAGAATTTTAAGTTTCTTAAAAGACTTTCTGATAATGATTTTACTAAATTTGAACACACTTGCAGATATACTGATCACATTATTACTTTCAACAATTATAATCTCATAGAAAATTGCAACATCTACTCCTACTGTCTAAAACCTAATAAAAAAAATCAAACGGTAATAGACTGTCTGGATCTTAGCATTTATAATCTTAAAGAAATTATACTTTTGTTAAAAGAAGAAAATTTAATTGTTATACTATTAAACTTATAAATTGGAACTTTAGCATATCTAAAAAAGTTATAGCAAATACAAATATTAACCAAATCAGCAGAATTAAAAAAGTTTGTACTGAAATAGAAAAAGAACAAGAAATCTTAATCCTCATTAAAATTTTAAAAGATAATGAAATTCCAATTAATTTCATTAACAGTCTTAAAAAAGCCTGGAGTGGTCTACACCCCATAAAGCTTTATGAATGAGTAAAGTATGAATTTTTTATCTGAAAGCTCCAATAGAGAAGGATAAAGAAGGATATTTTAGAAAGTTATATACGTTTTATTTTAATTTATGCTTCTTTTTATTTCTTTGCTTAGCTGTAATTAATTATGGGGCCTACTATTTTCAAGTTGTTATGATAAGCCCATGATGTGAAGATTTTTTACTTTTCTAACCTTATTCCTTTACTTACTTTCCTTTGCATTCTACTAAGACTAAATGGTGTAATATATTTTTTTAAAAATTAAATACATTTTATATAATAAAAAATTTTTTCTTAAATTCACCATAAAGAAAATTTCTAGGCACATTTGACAATAGTTTTTAAAAGCAAAAAACTAACTACCATTTGAGTTTCAGGAAATGTTTAAAGCATATTAAATATTTGGAATTCTGCTTATTAATTTTAATGTTCTTGATTTTTTTTTTTTTTTTTTTTTTTGCTTTTCTTTTTCTGTTTATTCATTTTAATTGCAATTTTGCTTTTAATTTAAATTTGGGTTTTTATTTTGGAAGAATTTGATATTTTTTACACTTAAGAATAATTCTTTCTCCTCTGTTGACATTTCAAAGTGTCAGTATGTTTTTTAAATAAAAAGTTTTTCTTTAAATTCAAAATTCTTTGCTATATAGCATTAAACTGACCTTTTGGGAGGTGGCTTTCTCAACTACGATTTTTAGTTTCACCAAACTTGCAACCCTAGGCATCTCAGCTTTTAACAGTTATTTTCATTGTTTCAAACTGGTGTTTGAATAAAGGTTCTCAAATCTGGTGAACAAAAAATATATTGGGATTATTCATCAGCTAATTCAGGATATAGAAAAGCATGGATTTTCTTATGGAACAAGAACTGTAATCATTTTTGATGAATGCTCCTCCTGAAGACATTATATTGAAGTTATTGGATGTCTCTTCTTTCCTGTTCCTTTTTTTCATTATTTAGTTTTGGTTTTTCTTGTAATGGTTCATTTTTTCAGAATTCTAATTCTACGTTTATAGGTTTTTTGGAAATTTATTTATTGAATTTAAGTTGAAAAATTGGTTCTAAATTTCTTTCTTTATGTATTTTTGATCAATTTTCAGCAGCATTATGCGTGAAAATTCTTGAAATGATTTTATATTTTTCTTTATAATTTTTTTTGCGTTTATATATATATATAATTACAAAACAATTATTTTAAAAACAAAATATAGTCTTGTTTAGAATTTTCATGCATTAAGCTGCTGAAAAATTATTAGTAAAGACATCGAGTAAGAAATTTATAACCAATTTTTCACAAAATATTGAAATTCATAAGTAATAAATTTCAAATAATCCTATAAATGCAATAAGGAATTTAATAAATCTTAAAATCAAAAACTCTTTAAAAAAACATTATAGAAGAAGAATTCAATCAGAAGTAAGGAAAAAAACAAAGTAAATTCAAATTAAAATCTTGAATAAAGAGAATTCTATTCAAAGAATTGAAAATGTAAGTGAAATAATAAAATACTTTAGTGAAAAATTCAAATCAAAATTTTACCTTTAAACTAACAGCACATAATCCAAAGTATTTACAACATAAGTGAAATTATAATACTTTAGTGAAATGTGGAACCACAGTATTTCAGCGGCTTTTTAGCATACAAACTAGGATTTTTCTTTTAACCTTTTTCTAAATTTTGCAGCACAATGCGCAAAGTTTTTGACCACATAGGTCTTTTATCGTTTGTTCTTTTTACTTTCTTTAAATTTATATATATATATACAAACACACATATACATATATATTTATTTATTCACTTTATCATACAGATGGGAAGAAGAAACAGCTAACTTTCTTTTGAAATATTGTTCTAAGAGAAGTGGTAAGTACTTAAATTTTGAAAACTAGACTACATGTATAATAGGATTATAAATAAACTCTGCTTTTTGTCCCATTTCAGTTAGAATGAATATCTATGCATTTGAGTATGTTCCATGCTTCTCTTACCACACTCCTTTTTTATGAAAAACTAAAAATTTGTTCATATTACTGTATTTTTGCATGCATAAGCTTAAGTTATTTATCTTTTGAAAATATTTAAGTGATACATTTATACATGATGCACTGTTTACATAAAATGATTCATAAATTTCATTAAAACCCCTCAATTTTTCTCGGTGGTTGGTTTAAAATGCAAAATAACTCTAAGAATTTAATATATATATATATATATATATATATTATATATATATATATAAAATAAAAAATAGAAACAACTTCAACTTTTGAATGTTTTTAGTTAGGAAGTGCAAGGTCTAACTTACTTTGAATCATCTCCTAATTAGTATCTTTAAATAAAATTAAATTCTAATTTGCTAGCTTAAGTAACCAAAGGTAAACAATGACAACAGTTTTAAACTAACTTCAACAATAATTTTATTAAATTTTAATTTGATTTGTCCATTAACTTCCAATCCGCCAATTCCAATTGAAATTCCAGTTGAAATTCCAATTGAAATTCCAGTTTTTTGTCTAAAAAACTGGAATTTCAAAAAGACTACACAACTAAATATCTCTTGAGTAGTTATAGATTCTGGTTCTAATTTAAGAAAACAATCAAATAATGTATATGGGCTCACCCAGTAGCCAAGCAGTAAAAATGCTGAACACTGGTAGTTTGATCCGAGTTCAAATCGTGGAGAACGGGCTGGGTGCATCAGTGTTTTCATCATGTGGGACATGTATCTGAACCTATTTCCCTTAGAAAGTCCTGGGCTCAAATGCAGTTTAGCCCACTGCATGGTGACTTGCAATAAACGCCCATACATGGCAAAGTTTATTTTGATTTATTATAAACACTGATTCACTTTTTAAATTTTTGATACCAAAATTTACAGCCCTGTATTATATTTAAAGAAATTAAATAATAAAGAATTTGAATAAATGTATATATGTTTCTCACTCTATGATAAAACAACAGTACCTAGAGCCATCATATTTTGAATAACGTATGTTTCCACCTAAATATGGGCATCTGGAAGCCCAAATTGGAATTTATTTTATTATCTATTTCATATTTTGTATAATCGGAAATCCAAAAGATACGCTCATTTAAAAATTATTTTGCGATATTGCTGTTGAACTGAATTTTATCGTTTAAGTGCAAAGAACATGATAATTAATAAATAAAGGTAATATGCAAAATGGCCCTTTGGGCGTAATGTAAAATCTGAAAGCCTTCAAATTAATTTTTTTAAATTGCATTATATATATGTATATATTTTAATTTCTTGTTGACAGTATTACCTATCATAGTTTTAGATATAAAAAAAAAAAAAAAAAAACCATGGCTTTCACAGCATTTTTTAATAACTAGATACGAATAAATTTCTTTAGAAAGAGCACAAATGTATCCTTCCATCCACTGCTACTTTAAAAGCACCATTTTGCATGAAAACAAAATTGTCAAGTAGCAGACAAATAATTTCAGACTTTAAAAAACCTGCAGTTACAAAAACTTTCCAAGCAGACAATATTTTTTGGAATTTTTACTTTTTAATTTGAGCAGTTAATTCAGTTAACCAAATACAGTCAAAAGTCGTTAATTCGGACACCCATAATCCGGAATGATCTATAATCCGGACCTCAAAGCTACAAACTTTCTGCGCATGCGTGCGTCACGCATGCGCACAGGCGTTTACAGCGCGTAACCCTTACGGCTGCGAATATGTTTTACGCATGCGCGTTTAATGTATAACGGAGGTATAAGCTAAGCTAAAATTATCTAATAATCTATTTCAGTTAATGTTGCCGATTGCGTTGTTCCTTAATCTTCTAATTGGATACGGCTTATTATTTTTTGAAGACTGTTAGAGCAATTTTATAAAAAGTGAGCTTGAACTTTCGATTATGTCAAATAGAATTTCCGATATATATTTACTACAAAGCGAAAGTATGTTTTGAAATCCGAAATCTGTTTATCAATTTCACGCTGCTTGCGGCAAGGGGGGGGGGGGGCAGAACGTCATTATAGATTATGATAGATTAGAAAGATTATGTCAATAGAATTCCGATATATATTTACTAATATGTAATTTGTATCTACAAAGCGAAAGTATGTTTTGAAATCCGAAATGTTTATCAATTTCACACAGCGGATTGGAAGTTAATCTGTCAGCACTATCCTTATCTTCAGGGCAGATGTTTTTATTTTATTTCGGTTTATAATTCCGATACTAAGTGTAGTATTTCATCTCGATGTACTCCGTCTTTGATATGATTTAAATCAAGTTCCTTGTCATTATAATTCGCTTCCGATAGTGAAGAAAGTGACCAGAGGTTATTGAAAACGAAAACATTTCGATTGACAAATTAGTCGGTATTCTCAACACAGCAATTATAGGACTTGAACAGCGGAACTTTGTAACTAAACAAGAAATTATGTCTGTTTAATAGAATTAAAGAGAAAGTATATCACATGAAATGAAGCAACTTACGTTGAAGGAAAGTTTAATAAAGTAAACAAATAAAATTTAAGCTTTTTTTTTTGTAAATTTTGATACCCTTTAGATCATAATTGTCTTTATTTCATAAATTACGGTTTCATATTTTTAATTTTGTGATTTCTGCATGCCATCTTACCAGATTTAAACTGATGATCGATAATCCGGAATCGCCGAAGTCCCGAGGAGTCCGGATTAACGACTTTTGACTGTATTATCGCCCTATATTATATTTAAGGAAATTAAATAATGATGGATCTGCATGAATGTATGTATGTTTCTCGCATTGTGAAAAAACAATGGTATATAGAGCCATCAAATTTTGAATAACGTAGTCCTCAACATGAATATGGGTACCTGAAAGCCCAAAGTTTGAATTTTGAATTTATTTTAACACGTATTTCATATTTTGTTAAACTTTATTCATGATAACTTCAAAATATATTTATTTCTGGTACAGAAGAAGAGATATTTTTTAGCATTCCTTAAAAAGTGTAATGCTTCTAATAATGAACCATGTCATTAACGAAGGATCATGATAAACTGAATAGAAAAGATTCATTGATGAAGGAAAAACTACATGGAAAGAATTATGAACTTTCAATATGAATACCTAAAGTACAGAATTTGACTAAACATATAACAGTCTTTTATTTCTTACATAATTATTTATTGCTTACTATCATCTTTCAAACAGAGAAAATATACTTAAAAAGAAAAATTTTGAACTTGAAAATGTTTCTAAAGTACAATAAACTACAAGCAGAAACATAAAAATATCTTTTATTGATAATTATTAACTAGGGAACATTTCTAACAATAAATAAATAAATATTCATTTCATGACTGTTTTTCATATATTTGCTCATCTTATTATTATGAGCGTTTTTCTCATATAACCCTCATCAAATTACCTTTAATAGAACTTTTTCATTGTTTGTCACAGTTTGATCTTATATTAAATTCAAATTTTGAATCTCTGTTTTTTACATGTCAGCCAATAATAAGTATCACATTTAATTCACAACTGAATGAAATATTAAAAAAAATTTTTTTTTGAAAAACTAAATATTTCATTGATATTTTAACTAATTTGAAATGTACAAATTAAAACAAATCATTATTTTTTCATCTAACCACCTAAAATATTATGATTAAAATACAAAATCATTAAAGTTACACAACCAACTCACCCACTGAAAAAGGGCAATAGAAAAAAACAAGGGTTAGCATAAATTAAAAGCCTCCCAAATGAAATTATTTTGGGTGTCAAGATGAAAATTAGTGACAAAGTTTAAATGTGAATAAGTTGCAAAACTGTTAATGCAATTTTTACAAACCTGGTGTCTAGCCATAAACTGAATGAATTTATGGAAAACAAATGGCATGTTATTTCAGAAAGAGTCTGATTTTTATATCAAGAAAATCATATTAGAGAAAAGCTATACATAAATATAATACATATTCTAACTCACCAAGACAATTTGCATTTTTGAGACAAAAAGTGCAATTCAGGGTTTACCAACTGGCCAACAAGAACCATACACATCACTTCTCCTTTTGCATGGTGAACCTGTTAAAAAAATCAATTTGAGGTTCCATTTTTGATTTTAGTGGTAGTAACATTAATAATACAGTCAAAAGTCGTTAATCCGGACTCGTCGGGACTTCGGCGATTCCAGATTATCGATTTTTCCGGATTATAGATCATCAGTTTAAATCTCGTAAGATGGCATGCAGAAATTCTAAAATTAAAAATATGAAACCGTAATTTATGAAATAAAGAACAATTATGATCTAAAGGGTATCAAAATTTGCAAAAAGAAAAAGCTTAATATTTATTTGTTTACTTTATTAAACATTTCTTTCAATGCAAGTTGTTTAAGTTCCTTCATTTTATGTGATAATACTTTCTCTTTAATTCTATAAACAGACATAATTTCTTGTTCAGTTACAAAGTTCCGCTGTTCAAGACCTATAATTGCGTGTCAAGAACACCGACTAATTTGTCAATCAAAATTTTTTCGTTTTCAATAACCTCTGTCACTTTTCTTCGCTATCGGAAGCGAATTATAATGACGAGGAATTTCTTTTAAATCATATCAAAGACGGAGCATATCGAGATGAAATACTACATTTGGTAAGGAATTATAAGCCAAATAAAATAAAAACATATGCGCTGAAGATAAGGATAGTGCTGACAGATCAACTTCCAATTCATTACGCGGCCGCCGCAACGTTCCCCCCGCCGAGCAGCGTGAAATTGATAAACAGATTTCGGATTTTTCAAAACATACTTTCGCTTTAGATCCTTTACATATTAACAAATATATATCGGAAATTCTATTTGATACAATCGAAAGTTTTAAGCTTACTTTTATAAAATTGCTCTTACAGTCTGCAAAAAATAATAAGCCGGATCCAATTCGAAAATTAAGGAACAACGCAATCATCAACATTAACTGAAATAGATAATTAGATAATTTTAGCTTATACGTCCATTATACATAAAACGCGCACGCGAAAACGTATTCTGCACTTGCGCACACTCATATGCGCAGTCGTAAAAGGTCTTACGCGCACGCGTAAACGCCTATGCGCATGTGTCAACGCGGCGCATGCGCAGAAAGTTTTTAGTTTTGAGGTCCGGATTATAGATCATTCCGAATTATGGGTGTCCGAATTAACGACTTTTGACTGTATAATGCTTTGTATTCTTTAAGAGAATACTAATGTTGGTGCCAACAGAGAGATGATTTATATTGCAAATAGATTTGGGTAAAACTTATGATATCTATAACTACTGTTAAGTATTACAGATACTATATTTTTTCTCCTTATAATTTTTATTTTAAAAATCTTTTCTCCTCTGAAGCTTTTTGAATTGCAAAAATGTAACAAAAAATAAAGTAAAACAGCAGCAAATTATTAACAGTTAGGTTTCTTGATGCTGGCACTCCTAACCATAGCATAATTAATAGGTCAATTTCATATTGTATTTGAAATGGCTTTCTTGTTTACATGTGTAGTTTACTTAAATATGTGATATAAACTCTACTACAATCTTTTCATGAAAGAAAACTATTAAATGACTACAAGAAATCAATACAAAAAGAATGAAATAATAATTAGTAATTTTAAAAAATGCTACATCTTAAAGATGAAAAACGATTTGAAAAACCATTGTTACCTTTTCAAGATAAACATAAAAAATTGCGCAGAACTGAGCCACATAAGAAAATGAACTTTTATTTTCAAACTCGTCTAAAAAAAGAGATTCAGATATAAACAAACCATAAAAGGAATTACATCTCTTACATATATATTGGATATGCTCAATGAATTTACGGATATAATGGTAACTTACATTTTTTTTTTGAAATCTTGCAACTTAAATAGAACTAAATTAAATAAAAACTATGAAACTAAATTAACTAGAAAAATATAAATATATTAAATGCTGACACCTAAATTTTAAAAGTTTAGATGAGTTGTGAATTAGCATCCTTAATTTTTTGCCATCATTACAAATTATATTTTATGAATATTTTATTATAGTTATTTTTAACATTATATATATATGAATATTAATTTTACAGTGTTGTATGTAGCTGATATTAAAGTGAATTATAGCCCTTTTATGAAGGAAATGGTTGCAACATCAGGAAGTACTACAATTTTCACACCAGAGCCAGGAAAGTATATTACTCATATGAATTTTTTTCTAAAATGGATTAAGCTGTAGACATGCTGGAAAGCAGACAAATATTTTCCCTTTATATAAACTTCTAAGGACTACATGGTTCAAAAAATCAAAATGAAATTTGAATATGGGTTGAAGGCATGTGCTTCCAAATGATATGAATAACTTTAGATTTATAGTAACAGCAAGAAATTTTAAAAATTCCCAATAACCAGCTCCCAGTTTTTCATATTGTAATATGATCGATAAAGTGAAAAGCCATAAATGGCAGTGAAATGCACCTAAAGACTCAAAAAGTGTCTGTGCAAGAGCACTGGCAAAGAAGAATAGGAATGACAAAAGAAGGAAAATAACAGGCACTAAGTGAAGTTGTGTGAAGGTGTATATTATGCACCATAGCAATAAGACAACATAGTGCAGAAAATCAAAGGCATTAATAATACATTCTAGGTGACTACTACCATCTTTTGCGATATTTATACATAATTTCTAAAGGTAGTAACCACATAAATTGTGTGGTTATGATCTATGAATTATATAGTTTCAGTGTTATGATATAAATTGTATACACTGACATGGTTGCATGCCATGATGTGAATACATGCAGTTTAAATCTCAACACTGTTTTACTTTTCCTTTTTTGTTCTCATAAGTCTTGTTGACAATGCTTTTTTTTATCAGTAATTTGAAGATAAAAAAACTCATTTGCCAGTGCACTTTTCCCCCCTTAAAGACACTATTCTAACACCACCTTTGTTTTTAGAGTACTAATCACATAGTGAATAATGTAAAAAAGTGAGTGCTGGTATTCGAAATTTCTTAAATCTATTTGCCATAACTGTGAGAGGTCAAATATTGTTATTTACATCATTCTTGAGTACATACCTTAAAACCCTTATATCTCAATTTTCCCTTTAGTTTGTTAAACCATGTGACCCCTTTGTATTATAAAATGATAATTTTCATTCTTTTGATTTATATATAGAAATTGCAGAAGGAAGGGTTTTATATCAATATGCCATGAAAGCAACACTTCCCAATGACAAAGACCAAATTTCTAATATTTCTAATGGTGATGTACTAAATCAAAAATTATATTTAAATTTAATATTTATAATTCTTCAAACATAATTAATTCAAAAATTTTAAAAATTGTAATAGAAATAAAAAAATATTAAAAAAAAATCATTCAAATTTTTGCCTTTCTTTAATTTTTTTTCAGATTCTTCTACTGTGTATACCATAGAAAAAATATCAAAATTAATTAATTCAACAGAAATTACAATGGATGAAATTCAAGGAACACTTCACGCATTTCTTGCTGCATTTGATATTGATGGAACTTCTAAAATCTCATCATTAAGATGGTAGTTTTCCTTATTTTCATTATAAATTGGTATAATTTAGAGGAGGGATACCCAACCCATATTTTACAAGTCACACATGGCTCACATTGTATGTCTGGTCCCTTCTGAGTGTTGTGAAGGGTTAAAAAGTAAAAAGAACAGTCAAATTCAATTATGCTACACACCTCATAGGTGCAGCTGGCATGCTGTTTTCCACCAGATATTGTGAGGCAACATTGCTCTAAATATTCTATGCATCATCGCTGATGTTATGCTGAGTTGCTTTATGACACTAATCGAAATGGCAACTTTTTTCTTCTGCCCCAGACTTTCATTTTGAATGCAATACATTTTCACTCTCACTTCTGTCCTGCCAACTGCTAACATTTGATGCTTAAAACACATTCCAAAATTTTATCAGTATCGATGTAGTTTTCAAGAACAGTGCTCATTTATCTATGTTGGCTTATTAAAATGTTTGATTAATAAGAAATAAAAAGGAATACTTAAATTGGTTATGGCTATGAGTTTCTTCTCTATACATCTACTATACTATAAACTTTTCTAAATTATTACATACATATATGTGTGTTTGTGTGTGTGTATGTGATTTTTGGAATAAAAGTCAAGGCAACTAAAGCCTCACAATTAAACATGCTCAGTTTTAGTAAAATTATGTAAATATAAAAATTGTTTTTTTATACTTACACCTTGGACCTTGTAATAGAAAAAAAATTAAATATTTTTTGAATCCTTGCAAGTAATTTGTATAATAATTATAATACTGAAATATTAGGAAGTATTAAATTATTTTTTTTAATTTAACTGTTTTAAATTATTTGTTAGGTTATGAAGTAATTTAATTTGGTATACTATAAATTGGAAAAAAAAAACAAACTGAAAATTAACTAAGTAGCATAAGAATGGAGGTTCTAAGACTGTATTACAGAATTGCATTTTAGAAGTTCAGCACAATCTCTTTTTCTGCATGTATTTTGGAAGACTAATGAATACAAATTTTATTTTCAGCTTCTTTTTTTTTTAAATTTTAGTCTTTTCCATAATAAAATGAATATAAATGTCTGAAATGATTTTGCATTGTATGTCATTTGTTATTTTCTATCCTTAAAAATTAAATTTTTCTCTTGCTATATCACAAACATTTTACTAAAGAGTCATTGTTAACAGATGCTCTTCTCATCTATTTTAAAAATTTGTGTAAGGAAAATTGTTTTTTATTGTGTAGCTATAAATTCTTTAAGGAATTATTCTGTAGGTGAATAATTTGAATTTAATTTTTCAACTTTCATATGCATATCTGAGGCATTAAACATTTCTTAAAATGCATGAGCTAGTTTGAAAATGTATTAAATAGTATTTTTAAAACATTGTAGAAAAATGGTTTCTCTACAAGCATGGGTTTTAACGAGAAAGTTTCAAAATTAATTTTATTAATGTATTAAATCTATAAGCCCATCAACATTTATAACAAGGCGATTTCTTTAAGAGCTTATTTCCTTCTGTTTGTCACTGTGTCTCTATTACTGTAACATAGAATTTAAATAAATTTTGTCAAGTCATACACAGTTTGACTGCCAATACATGTCAAATTTGTGAACAAATTCCCTTTCATCTAGCTCAAGGTTTCCCAACCCTATGTCCCTGCACACCATGGTGCCCACTGCTGTGCGATCACAATAAAAATGCTTTAGTTTTCAATGAATTAAAAATAGTGCTCTAGGTTTTTTAATGAAACAGAAACTGTTGTCCAACACAGATACCAGCACAAAGTGAAATGTGACCTATCTCTTTTTTTTTTATGTGCATGTATTTAAAGTCTATCCAACTATAAATTCACCTTGAAAAAGTAAATGGTGCCAACTGTCCAACAGATATTCTAGAATGTGCTCTTGGGGACTCCTGTTCTAGCTTATCAACAGCCCAGTTTTCACTGATTGTTAAAACGGTTTTTCTTTATTTAGGTGGCTGGCTACGTCTACTAGTCTTTATATAAAGTTTTACACAGTAGTCTTTAGACTAAGCACATCTTAAATACAAAAACTCTGTATAAACTTAATAAAAAAAAAGCAGCTCATTTGACAACAATCATAGGTCTTTTGATAACAGTGTGCAAAACACCCCAATAAACATCCTAATGATGAATAAAGATGACATATTCTAGCAGTCTTTCCTACAGTAAAACAACATTCCACAAATAATACATCTTTCTTTGAATTTCCATTTGAGGGAAAAAAAGAGAATATTGTTTATGGTACTTCATCAATTTTTAATTTCTTTTTAACCTTTTTATTTTGTTTTATTTATATATTTCTGGAATGAGAGAAAATGCACAAGCAATCAGTCATCAAGAGATAATAGGTAGTTCAGTAAATAACTTAAAATTTTAGCATACTTCCCACAAAAAAAGTTTCTAGAGTATTAGCCTTTCTTAAATAGACAAACCTTAAGCTTTTTATCATAATGAATTAATCTAACTTCGAACAATGAAATAATAGCAGAAAATATTTAGTCGAATAGAATCCTTTAAAAAGGTTTTCAGGAATAATTTAAAGCGAAAGATTTTAAAGAAAAGCAGATAATTTGAAAGGTAAAAAGAAAAATGGAAAACACTAATTAACTGAGCTACAAATAAGTCATTACATTTATGAAACATTTTAAATTTTAAGAATTTTATCTCCCAAAAATCTACAAATTAGACTTGACTAATGGCTCTTCCAATATGTAATAGGCAGATAAATTGGGGAAAATACTTCTTCCTGGCAAGATAACTAGTTTATTAAATTTCTTACATATCTATTTATTATACTCCATTTAAACTTTAGTACATGCCCATTAATTAATTAAATTAATGTAGGACCCATTTTACTACCTATATACATTTAAGTATTGTTTAGGGCACTTAATAAAATTACTCATTCTACAACTTTAAAGCTGGTTAAATTGCATTTGCAGTTGTCTGAAAATATATCTATGCACTCACTTCACAGGCCTACTGGAAATTATAATATAATTACTATTTTTAAAAATAATAATCTTTTTAATAATTCTTTAACTGTTTTAACTTCAGTGTTACTTCAGATTCTAAATATATATCATGATACTGTAGGGCGCTTATCAAAATAAAAGGATATTGATAGAAATAAAATTTGACTGTTACTTATTAAAAATGACTGAAAGCAATTTGCACAAAAGCATTTTTTAACATTAACTAACAATGCCTGTCAGTTAATTAAACTCAAAATATTTAATTTTTTTTAAAACTTCTATGCCTGTCTTTGCATTTCTGTCATAAGTGGACAAGCGGCCCAATAAAATTATGAGAGTGTAAAAAAGCAAGGGTAAAAATTAGCCTCTATAGAGTTGTCCGAAATAAACTTAAAAATAATGGGGCAGTTCTTGAGGAGGTCCCCATTCATGTCCCCCAATGACAAAAGGGGCAACAAGGTTGAATCCTCGACTCAAGTCGGATGTAAATATTGCTATAAATAACCATGACCAGTTGTCAAACGAAAGCAAGCCACCCCAACAGAGGATACTCCACTTCTTTTCCCCTACTGCATCAACGTATAAGGATATTCTGTTATTCTTCATTTTATTGCATATAATTCTTTTAATATTATGCAAAGGTAAAGAGGAATGAGATTGGGCCATAAAAGATCCAGCCTTGGCAAGTCTATATGCTTCCTCATTTTGAAAAATATCACAATGGCTGGCAATCATCTGAAGGGCAATGCTCTTTCTGTTTTCCCTTAGCTTAAAAAGTTTCATTTTATAAGAATAAACCTGGGCATTTTCCCATGTTTATTTCAGACAACTCTAGAGAGGCTAATTTTTACCCTTGCTTTTTTACACTCTCATAATTTTATTGGGCCGCTTGTCCACTTATGGCAGAAATGCCAAAGACAGGCATAGGATTAAAAAAAAAAAATTATATTTTGAGTTTAATTAACCGGCAGACATTGTTAGTTAATGTTAAATAATGCTTTTGTGCAAATTGCTTTCAATAATCTTTAATAAGTAACAGTCAAATTTTATTTCTATCAATATAGTTAGAACTGGTAAGTGACAAAATAGCAGCTTGTGAATCGATGAAAAACACAATATTTTGAACTAGGCTATTTATAAATTTATCAGTTACATATGTTACAGCTGCTACCTCACCATCAAAATTGTCACAGTACTTCCCAGCAGGATAGCTAATATTGAATTATTTGAATAGACTCCAGCACCAGCATATTTTAGCACATCTTCTGCTGAACCATCTGTGTAGGTGTACACATGGAACCACTTGTTTGGAGGGTACCTGTAAAGTGTGGTAGCCACAGAAACATTTGATAACTCATTTGGAATGGAAAATTTTTTGTTGACATTCCAAACAAGATACAGGTGTTTTTGCAACTTATCTAAATTTAAAACAGGATTCCACTCCTAAGAGAAAACCTGACAAGTGTAGGAATGTCATATCATCACGATCGCACATAGTCGAAAAGAAGGATCTATGAGTCTTTAGTCTTTCACTTGCTAGTCTACAGCATTTTTTTTTTTTTAAATTATTTTCTTCTTCAGATTTTTTCACCAATATTCATAGCACTTTTTTGGCACCTTTCACTTAAAAGCTCCAAATCTGTCTGTAATTCCATAGCAACAAAAGGAATATCGTGCCACCAATGATTAATCACAACATATGTTGTTTTGGAAAATATCCAGATAGTTTATAACAGAATCTGATGCAGTAATAAAAACTTCATTACCATATTCAATAACAAAATGTACATAACTTTATAGGCTGTACGCAAAACATCTTGGGTCGAACCCCAAATAATACCATCCAGATGTTTCAGTAGTTTAGATCTCAGATGTCCTCAATCAATGGCTGCATTTATTTGTTTTTTCCAAGATAATTTTGGATAATGAATGAATCTAAATGAATGCCCAAGTAAACAGGATCATATGTTCTATTCAGATCTTTATTATTATAGTTGATCAAGAAAACTTTTAATGAATTTATATAAATTGCCAAAAATGCCGTAGAAAATCACTCTTTTAAGTAAACAGGATCCACTCCTATGAGATAGTCCTATGGGATAGGTATAATCCAGCTCTCCAAATTTTATCAAAAGCATTTTTGTAATCTACAAATATACAAAGGTACTTTGCTTTCTCTGAAAGCCATCCTTTATCTCTTGAGGTAAGCAGACTAGTCAGCAGTTCATCTATGTCTTTGAAAATCTACCTGCCTTTGAGAAATCACACAAGCTTCGTCTAACACAAACAGTAATCTGTTAGCAATCAATTTCTCAGTTTATTTACATAAAATGTTTGCAAGAGAGATTGGGCAGTAACTGTCCAAATTCTCTTCAGATTTTTTAAGTTTGAGAATTGGTATTATCATAGCCTTTCTCCAGGCACTTGGCAAACTATTTCTACAAGTCTAGTTTATAAACTTCAATACTACAAGTTTTGTAGAAACTCCAACTTTAGTGCAGAATTCGGGTAAGATTTCATCAGGGCCTGCATTTTTGCCCTTCACTAAAGTTCCTAGACCATTTCTCAGCTATTCCATAATGAAATCAGCATCTAAAAGTTCTCAAACCTTGTAATTTCGTTTTGTATAGGTCCCAATTAATTTTCCTTTATTTTAATAAAAGGCATGAAATTGCTATCTTAGCATAGGGCCTACAAAAGGTAAGTGAGATTTTTTATAGGTAGTAAGTTCTTTGGTACCTATTTTAACACATTCATTTCTTTTGATTTTTCATCTGGGATAAAAATCTGTGAGTCCTTATGAAATCTCTTCTAAAATCCAGTCCTTTCAGAAAATGTTTATATGTAGAGTGCTTAGGATAATGCATCTTTTTAAAACAGCCTGTGCCTTACGGAGAGCTATACAGTTCTCACTAAGTCCAGTTTTATGAACCCTCTGGCGAGCTTTATCTCTGTCATTCTTGAGTTTCTACACATTTTCATTCTAGAAAGGAGCATATTTCTTTTGCTGTCTTCTTGGGATACCAACAGAGGCGCATTTTAAAACTGCTAGTGAAAAAAGTTTTGAAGCATATTCGAGATATGGCAAAATCAGAGAGTTGGTAATATATTCATCAGTGAATTAAAAGTAAAATTTACAAAGAATTGAAACCAAAATTTATGAAAATTTAGAAATGATAAGAAAGTTATTTGCTATTCTGCAAAAAGTCTTTCTTTTATATGTTATATGGTCACCTCATACAGAAATGATATCGTAATGATATCGAACTTTCTCCAAACCATCTATTCGACTGTCCTGCTATTTTGGCCAAGCTCTTCAGTATAGTATAACTTCCTCACACCAACTCCTCTATTCTTCAAAATTATTGATGTTGCTGCGGCTATTCTGGATACTTTTGGTCTTATTTGACTCCTCTGCATTGACTCCTTGGACAAGACAATAACAACATACAGAAATGCAAACATCACCTCTGGATTTAACAAACTAGAATTTAACAAACTGTTGCTCAAGTTTTGCACAACACTCTTCTGAAAATGCACGTTTTAAATCCTGAATAGCCCAAAAAAGCATTTGGCATGCAACAATTCAGCAGCATATGACACATGCTTAATAGGATACAAGCGTGACCTTTGAGAACAAGGCCTTACAGCTTAGTGGCGTTGAGCGTGTGACATCATCACAAGGAGTGCATCCCTTTTTTGGAGGTGAGGGCAGCACTATGTCAAAGGTTATTCTCAGTCGCCATTGCTGCAAAAGAAGAGGTTGCATTGCAATTATTGATTTAAAATCTTGAGATATACTGTGATTTTTCTGCAGTTGGATATATGAAATTTGAGGTTTTTGGCAATTTGTGGGTTGTTCCAGAAGCAATATAATGCCTTACATGTGCTCAGTGCTATGATGTAATTGCAATTACAAATCTGGACCTGAAGTACATATTTTCGCTTTTCCTAATGATGCAGATCTGAAAAAAAAGTGGATCCGTGCAATAAAACGAAATGACTTTGTTCCAACTAAAAACAACAGGGTGAGCTTTCATTAGTATGATTTCATTGATATTTTAAGAAAAATTAAATAAATTAAATATTCAATATGTTTAATACATCTGTTTTTAATGTAAAGCATGATATGTAATAAATGTTAAGATAGTATCACTTATGTAATAATTACCTAGTTACTTTACATCAGAATAACAAAAAATTAACTTCTACTGATAAATAAGCATACTGTGAGTCCACTCGCTTTCAGTGGAGAAGAGAAGTTTCTTTGCACTCCTCACGTGACATCATGAGAGAGCTGGGTGGCGGCCTTGTTTTTTGAAGTCCATGGTACAAGTCTGCTGAATAAGCTGGCTAATTCATTTGAATGATATCCTCTGTTTCCAAAAACTCTGACATCAGAGATGCTTGATGTAGATAACTAGTGTCATCTATTATTAACAAAAGATCAGGGTAAACAGCATCAATCAACAGCCTTAGTATTCCAGGATCTCATTCACATATGTATGTTCTTCATCAATGATATGCAACTCAGTGCATCCATTTTTGATGTTCTACCTAAAACCATGAAACTGTTTCCATGGAAACAAGATTTTTCAGGAACAAGGAAAGGCAAGTTGTGAGTTCTTCACTCCTTCCAGATCAAAACACATTCATAATCAGAGTTCAGAGTATACCTGGACTTGTGAGTAAATATTGCATGGTCCCACTCTCTCCTTAGTTTTATTGAACATAAAAATTACATCCCTTTAAATAGACCCTTTTGACAGATAAAGTGAGTGGAACATAAATCACTGCTTTTCTTAAATAAAATCAGGTATATTGAAATCCTTGTGCCGCAGTGGTTGATTTGAGTGCCTGTGGCAGTCCTAATGATAACCAATAATGGAGAGATTTGTTCTAAAACCAGTTTTCTTGTAGTTATTCCAAAGTTTTTTTGACAAAAAATAATCTTTGGATACAGCTATTGCTATTGACCGCCCTCAACCAGACTATCTACTAATCGAAACACTGCTTAAAAAGCAATTCCAAGTTCTTCATATATGACATTTTTAGGAATATTCAGTTCTTTGGCGATTCCATGTATGTTTGCTCTCCTCCCTGAATTTATAAATTACAACCCACTTTTGACATTCACTAAATTATGCCTTTGAGTCATAACTAATGAATACTAATCTCTTTCAGAAATCCCATTAACTTTAAACAACACTACATACCCGATTTCAAACATATGTCACTGTCTAACACATTGTCAGCCATCTAATTTACATATTTCATATGCTAACATATGTAGAAAAATCCAATTTTGTGTTTAGTTGCAGAAAACTAACATAAAAAATAATTACTCTATTAAACACTGAAGAAACTTTTGTAAGTTAGTATATTTTTTTAAGATTATTCTTTAATTCTGACAAGATTGTATTTTAAATAAACAATCTATTGAAAAAATTGTACATACCTAATTTTTCAAAGATAAAATAATATTCAACTCAATTTCAGCCCAGGATGTCTGCAGTTATTGCAAAAAATAAATGATAAATGTGTTAACGGTTTATGTGAAGTTGGAAGTGGAGCTAAAACACTGCCTGCTGAAGAAATATTTGATCTAATAGTGTCACTGATAGACAATACAGGATGTCTTCCAAGATGTCTTTTCACTGGTCAAGCAGCTCAACATCTTTTAGGATTTAGTGTAAGTTTAAAAAATAATAATATTAAAATGATTTATAATGTCTGATGAGACAATTTATGAATTCTAAACTATACCAATTAAATTAAATTTATATAAATTAATTTCTTTCAGAAGAATTTGAAGTACTGATTTTGTTTTCAAAATTCACTTATTTCATTACTTTACACATCAGTATGAAAGACTTACTGCATTTCCTCGCGTACTTTATCCCCTATCCTTTTAGTGACCAGTTTGGAAAATTAAAAAAATATTTGCATAATTTTCTCCTACCTCTATTGTACATTTTTCTTTCTGAAGGCTAGTTTATTGGTACAGTACAAAGTCCGAGATCCGGAACGAACTAAAATCCGAACCTCAAAGTCACCAACAACTGTTTTATTATTTTTCTCTATACAGTCAAAAGTCGTTAATCCGGACTCGTCGGGACTTCGGCGATTCCGGATTATCGATTTTTCCGAATTATAGATTATCAGTTTAAATCAGGAAGATGGCATGCAAAAATTACAAAATTAAAAATATGAAACCGTAATTTATGAAATAAAGAACAATTATGATCTAAAGGGTATCAAAATTTACAAAAAGAAAAAGCTCAATATTTATTTGTTTACTTTATTAAACATTTCCTTCAATGTAAGTTGCTTCGTTTCATGTGATAATACTTTCTCTTTAATTCTATTAAACAGACATAATTTTTGTTTAGTTACAAAGTTCCGCTGTTCAAGTCCTATAATTGCTGTGTTGAGAATACCGACTAATTTGTCAATCGAAATGTTTTCGTTTTCAATAACCTCTGGGTCACTTTCTTCACTATCGGAAGCGAATTATAATGACGAGGAACTTGATTTAAATCATCAAAGACCAGAATGAAATACTACACTTAGTATGGAATTATAAACCAAATAAAATAAAAACATCTGCCCTGAAGATAAGGATAGTGCTGACAAATCAACTTCCAATCCGCCGCGTGAAATTGATAAACAGATTTCGGATCTCAAAACATACTTTCGCTTTGTAGATACAAATTACATATTAGTAAATATATATCGGAAATTCTATTTGACATAATCTTTCTAATCTATCATAATCTAATAATGACGTTTCTGCCCCCCCCCCCCCTCTGCCGCAGAGCAGCGTGAAATTGATAAACAGATTTCGGATTTCAAAACATACTTTCGCTTTGTAGTAAATATATATCGGAAATTCTATTTGACATAATCGAAAGTTCAAGCTTACTTTTATAAAATTGCTCTAACAGTCTGCAAAAAATAATAAGCCGGATCCAATTCGAAGATTAAGGAACAACGCAATCGGCAACATTAACTGAATTAGATAACTTTAGCTTAGCGTGTAACTCCGTTACAATTTAAACGCGCATGCGCACAAACATATTCGCAGCCGTAAGAGTCTTACGCGCTCTCGTAAAGGCCTGTGCGCATGCGTGAACGCGACGCATGCGCAGAAAGTTTGTAGCTTTGAGGTTCGGATTATAGATCATTCCGGATTATGGGTGTCCGAATTAACGACTTTTGACTGTACTTTATGCATGTGTATTTGATTCCCTGCCCCGCGCATAATAAAACATGTGGCGAGTCATGATAATTCGTAATTTCACTTTGGCACTAAATAAAATACCTCATTATTGAAGAAACAATCATTTTAACATAAATTTTGTATGATCAAGAATTTGGCTCCAATCCGTATCTGCTTGGCCTACATCTCAAACCGAAACATTCTACATAGCTACATCGTTGATTTTACACCTATTAATATTTTATATCGTCGTCAACCTGGTGATTCATTATTTATTATATTTTGCTTTCAGAACCGCATGTTTATCAACAGATGACAACTGAGTAATGTCTTACGTAGCGATGCCTAAACAATTTTTTTTTATGTCAGTAACTGAATAATAATAGAGTATGGTAAACTTTTGTGTTGACATTACGCTTGCCGATGATTTCAGATTTAAGTTAAATGTGCTAAGAAATGTTGACGCGGAAATACTTAACAAAAATTTCTTTCCATATGCTAAAAATAGAATTTTCTTAATAATACTCATATGCCAAAAGATTATATTTAGTGTTATTTGAATTAAGAATAACTTATTTGTTATTCACATAAACCTAGAACCAGCGCCAGGGCTCATAAGGCCGCAATGGGCGGCAGAATTTAGGGAAGACAAAGGGAGGCACTTATTAGCAGAATTTGGGACCCACAGAGACTTCAACAGGCGGTAAGATATCTAATGCCGGCCCTCAATAAGCTTTATGTGTATGTGGGAATTTATTTAGTCAGGACTCAGATAAGACTTAAGTATGTGCAAGAAATAGAAATAAGTATAATAAATAACTAAACTAACACAATTCAGGCTTAACTGTCTCAGAGCCATAGAAGCAAGATAATATTTAGGGGAACAACTTGTCTTTAGTCGCCAATTTCATGATACATAGCCAAATAAGCTATAATAGTAAATGCTAGCTAAATTTTATGATGATAGCCACGTATTTTAAAGGTTTTGGGATATCGCAAACCAAAAGTGAAATTTTCCAATTAAAGGATTTTGTAAAGAAATGGGGAGAAGCGGTAATAAATGAAGATGATTTTCATTGTAATGACAATGCTCCTTAATCATCAATCAATTAATGGATGGCAAAATCTGTAGTATGGTTCTAGATCAAGAAAATGCTGTTACCGATAGTGAACTGAAAACGAAAAAATTTCGCTTGACCAGTTAGTCGGAATTCTCGACACAGCAATTGCAGGACTTCAACAATGTTAACTAAACAAGAAATTATGGCTGTCTAGAGAATTAAAGAGAAAGTATTAGCACAAAAAACAAAGCAACTTAAACAATTTACATTGAAGGAAATGTTTAATAAATTAAACAAATAAATAATTTTTTATTGCTTTTTTTGTTTTTGTAAATTTTGATATCCCCCTTTTTTTGTTATTTTGAAGCATTTATGATTTTGATCATAAATGCATCATTATTTCATAAATCACGATTTCATACTTTTAATTTTATAATTTCTACATGCCATCTTACTCGATTTAAACTGATGATCTAATATACAGAAAAATCCCAAATCCAGAATTGCGGAAGTCGTGACGAGTTCGGATTTCGGACTTTGTACTGTAATTGTATTCCTTTGATTACTTTCAATTTTATTCAGTATATTCAATTAATTAGTATCTGCATTTTTATATTAGCATTTCATTCATTTTCTTTTCCCCTGCACTCATTATTTGAAACATATTTTTTACAGATTCTTCATTAAGCTGTCCAGACATGACAGGCAATCTCACACTTAAGAAACTTTCAAATATGTGATTTCACATTATATCAGTTATTTATGCTCCAGCTCATTGTAGCCTTATCTACTGCTTATGTGTTCAACCTTCCAAAATACGGGATATTTTTTCGCCTCCTTATCCCTCATTCCTCTGATGTCCATTTTGGGAACTGAGTCATTCATATGAGGTGTCCCTGCAGCTTTACAAAGCAACTGAACTGGGTCCAGTTCAGTTACAATTAGATATTGTAATGTTAATATTACTCTGTATTCTTACTGGAATACTGATTTCGTTTAAAGAAATAATATTGTGATAGTTAATAGTAGTTTAGCCCACAACTACTTTTTATTTGTTATGTTTTTACCATAACCGTATTCTTCAGAAATTATATTATTCCTATAATTTTCCCCTCTCTATTTTTCAGATAATAAAATTAGTTAAAAAAAAGAGAAAAAATAGGCGATGAAATATGGTATAGTTGATGAATGTTTTCTGATAATTTATAGGTTATGTAAAAAGAAAAAACATAAAAAATATAAGAAAAGACATACATATACAAATTGAAAAGATATGTATATATATATGTAATTTTAATTAGCACAATTTTCATTATATAGACAATTTGTGATTAAAAACTTAATGAACAGAAAAACTTATAAAATACAGACAAAAAAAAAAAAAAAAAAAAAAAAAAAAAAAAAAATTTACCTTACATGGGTATTACAATATAATAATTTGAAACCCATTCAGCCCTCTTTTCACCCTATGCCAGAATGTTATTCTTGATTAAGATCCTTTGTAATACAAATAGTCCATGCCAGATATTATGTAAAAATTTAAAAATTATTAATGTTTAGTTATGCTTTAAAAACAGTGTTGTCAATGGAACTAAAACCATTTTCAAAGAATGAGAAATTTCATCACATATTATTTATACAATCAAACCTAGATATACTGAATTTGCATAACAGAGAATAAGATACTATAATGATATTTCTCTGGATAACTTAAACTAATATTAATTTAGATTATTTTATCTGCTTAATACAAATGTCATTAATTATTTAATACTTTGCTACATACTGAATTACTTACAAACTTACTCTATGTTAAAATATAGTGGACCTTTTTCACATTTTTTAAAAAAAACTTAGAAACTTCAACATTCTTTAAAACATTTTTGTCAAATAACTGTGCTAGGTAACACAGTTTTTTTGGCAAAGCAATAAGTTTTCCTGCTAAACTTGTTGCCTGACAGAAGTTAGTCTACACACAAAGATTTTGCTCTGAGCTAAGCCAATCAGAAAGCTTGATATGATTTACATCCAAAAGGAGATCTCCCTCACTCTAAAAAATATACAAATTTGAAGTATTCCATGATATTATTTATTCCAAGTTTCATTTTTAAAATAAATAATAGTAGTACTACTACTTTTTTAAAACAAGCTATTCTATAAAAACAAGCTTACAACTTTCAACATTAAGGGCAATCAAGAGTAGATCTCCAGTTAAATTAATGGAAACAAATGTCTCTAAAGCTTTAACCAAGTTATAACAAAAAGAAGGGAATTTTAAAATAGCTGATAGATTGTGCATATTTCATGATTAAACAAGTTCTGCTATTTAATGGTAAGATTCAGTAAACAGATGAAATTACACAAATTGCATGGATTCATTAAATTTTTGGCCGAATATATGAACATACTTTTTTGAAGTGTTTTCAATGATATTTTGTCATTCAAATACACTTTTTGAGATTTTACCAAAGAAAATTCTCGATATTTCTTAAAGAAAAAAGGGGGTGGGGGAAGAGAAAAGAGATCACAAAATTTCTCTATATGCTTGTGTCACAGAGAAATGATTTTGAAGCAGTATGAGAAAATGACAGGGCACAAGAGACAAATTAATTGTCATCAAAAAGAATAAATGTTCACACTGAAATAAGGTGACTTTAATTTGAGATTTTCAATAACATATCCAATCAATACTCAAAAGATTAGGTTTCCTTAATAGACTTCAATTTATGATCCTTCTGAATAAAGAAAACTTTCTTATAATCGTGATTTTTCCAAAAATATTGCTAAATAAATTGAGTGCTAACCAACACTGCTGGACATTTTTATAAATCTGTATAAAACTATTACCATATACAGTCAAAAGTCGTTAATCCGGACTCGTCGGGACTTCGGCGATTCCGGATTATCGATTTTTCCGGATTATAGATTATCAGTTTAAATCAGGAAGATGGCATGCAAAAATTACAAAATTAAAAATATGAAACCGTAATTTATGAAATAAAGAACAATTATGATCTAAAGGGTATCAAAATTTACAAAAAGAAAAAGCTCAATATTTATTTGTTTACTTTATTAAACATTTCCTTCAATGTAAGTTGCTTCGTTTCATGTGATAATACTTTCTCTTTAATTCTATTAAACAGACATAATTTCTTGTTTAGTTACAAAGTTCCGCTGTTCAAGTCCTATAATTGCTGTGTTGAGAATACCGACTAATTTGTCAATCGAATGTTTTCGTTTTCAATAACCTCTGGGTCACTTTCTTCACTATCGGAAGCGAATTATATGACGAGGAACTTGATTTAAATCATATCAAAGACAGAATGAAATACTACACTTAGTATGGAATTATAACCAAATAAATAAAAACATCTGCCCTGAAGATAAGGATAGTGCTGACAAATCAACTTCCAATCCGCCGCGTGAAATTGATAACAGATTTCGGATCTCAAAACATACTTTCGCTTTGTAGATACAAAATTACATATTAGTAAATATATCGCAAATTCTATTTGGACATAATCTTTCTAATCTATCATAATCTAATAATGACGTTCTGCCCCCCCCCCCCCCCTGCCGCAGAGCAGCGTGAAATTGATAAACAGATTTCGGATTTCAAAACATACTTTCGCTTTGTAGTAAATATATATCGGAAATTCTATTTGACATAATCGAAAGTTCAAGCTTACTTTTATAAAATTGCTTAAACAGTCTGCAAAAAATAATAAGCCGCATCCAATTCGAAGATTAAGGAACAACGCAATCGGCAACATTAACTGAATTAGATAACTTTAGCTTAGCGTGTAACTCCGTTACAATTTAAACGCGCATGCGCACAAACATATTCGCAGCCGTAAGAGTCTTACGCGCTCTCGTAAAGGCCTGTGCGCATGCGTGAACCCGACGCATGCGCAGAAAGTTTGTAGCTTTGAGGTCCGGATTATGGGTGTCCGAATTAACGACTTTTGACTGTACTATAAATATGACACTCATAGCATTATGAGAGAAGCTTATTCTGTAGGTACCAATTTCAGTTGCATTCACAAAATGATCATTTTCAGCATTAAGAATTAATAATTATATTAGAGTACTGCAGTTATATTGAGAAACAACAACTTCTGAGAGTTAAAGCATGGCTTTCATTTTATGAAGATCTTATAAAGGAATTCATAATTTTAAATAGAAGGACAGAATTCATATTCAAAAAATTCTAATTCTAATGAGTGTAATCTAAGTGTTATTTCTAGACTTTCGATTGTATCTTAGGCCTCAGGTATATACTGTTATTTCCTCAAATCAAATAATATGTGTATCTTCAAAGTACATTATTTCTGTAAATATTAATAAATTTCATAATTTTCAGAGGAAACAAAATCTGGTTAGTTTTAAATTTTTATCATTTTTATTTCATAATTTTATTTATTAGATAATATGTTAATACATAATAGCTAAATACTGAATAAGCATAATGCTAATTCCCATTTATTAATATAGAATTTTTTAAAAAAATTTTGTGTTTAACAGCATGCCATTTATGAAAAAGACAAGGTATGCCCCTACTTTCAAAGTATTCTCCTTCAGCATCTATAAACTGAATTCAATAGTATCTTCCTTTCTGGAAAAAGGCTTGCAAAGAGCTATATATTAAAAAAATTTAATCCACCTTTCAATTTTGCAAATAATCAGAAAATATGAGGAGTAAAATCACATGAATTCACAGGATGATCCAACTGGGTAATTGTTATCTTGGCCAAAAAAGAAAAATCACAAAGAGGGGATTCCAACTCTGTATATGAGACACATCCTTTGAAAGATCTTTCTCATATTCAATTCTTCAGTTAAAATTAGCTGTTTTTCGATTGTGCAGTTCTTCACCTGTCAGCCTCATAATTAATCATCTATTGGATCATAATGCCCTTTGCACTCTTTTAATAATAATATTCATCTTTCTTGTTTTTAATGGGCCTCTGATCTTTACTGTCTTTTATCATCATCTTTTTTGCATCATCCATCACATCGCACTTATTATTAAATTTCTAATGCCATTCTAACACACTTTACTTCATAGCATCTTCACAAAATGCCACTTTCAATAATTCGAATATTTCAGCAATACTTTTCTAATTTCTACATAAAAATCTGATGTTCTCAGTTTCAAATGCCTATTTTTACACGAAAGTGCACATGCAGATGTTCATAAATTTCTTAATAACCAACAAAAACTTGACTCTATCTGCATGAAATTTAAGCACATATTAATTTATAAATATTTAAACATGAATATTCAGGTAATTTTAATGTAATTTTGATACAAGGAACATTATACAGCTATTGAGAAATTTGTCCCACTTGCTCACAAATTATTATTATAGTACTTAAAAAATAACCTGACCTAAGCTCTCCCCAGACGAAGCCTCATTTACTACTATTAAATTAAAACCAGGAGCTGTTGGTGAAATAGAACCCTGTAGGGAAATTTCACTTAGCTTATTAAATCCATTAAAAAAGGAATTAGCAAGAATGGAAAAAGATGGTATTATAAAGAAAGTTAACCAACCAACAGACTTCATGAATTCATTAGTGGTAGTAAGGAAAAAGGATGGCAATTTAAGAGTGTGTTTAGATCCTCAGCACCTTAACTAAAATATATTGAGAGAACATTATCACATACCAACCTTTGAAGAAATTTCATCTCAAATGACAAATGCAAAGGTCTTTAGTATTTTAGGTGCAAACAAAGCATTTTGGCAAATTAAACTGTCAGATTCAAGTTGTGAATTTATTACATTTAACACTCCGTTTGGTAGATATTGTTTTTTGAGGTTGCGATATGGCCTGAGTTCATCACCAGAAGTTTTCCACAGAAGTTTTTCTGAAATTTTTAGTGATTTAGAAGGAGTTCAAATATATATAGATGACTTATTAGTTTGGGGTAAAGATAAAAAAGAACATGATCTAAGATTAAAGAAGTTGTTGGACAGAGCCAGAGAAAAGAATGTTAAATTCAATTTTAAATAAATGTAAATTTGAGCTGAATGAAGTAAAAATATAATGGGACATATATTTCTAAAGATGGTT